CAGGTCAAAAGTGAGATTTTTCTAGAGATTGGATTTTTGGGGAATTCCAGACCTATTCTACCTGTCCAGTGGATACTAGATTACTGGTTTTCACAGCAGCTGTCTTTGGGCAGCAATTAGATTTTAAGTTTATGATAGAGCTAAGTAGAAATTGAAAAGTAAAGGGCAAGTTCAAATGCCACAAAGTTTGTTTTTCTTACTGAAAACCAACCTTAACATAAAAACAAAAACTCTCCTTGGATTGTTCCAAGCCTTCCATGAATTTCCAAATTACTTAGCTCAGGCTGCTATAACAAAATATCATAGACTGGGTGGCTTAAACAACAGACATTTTTTCTTGGTTTTGGAGACCTAGAAGTCCAGGATAAAGGTGTCAGCACATTTGGTTCCTGATGAGGGTCCTTTTCCTGACTTTGTCATTGTATCCTCACGTAGTAGAGAGAGCAGTCTCTGGTCTTTCCCCCACTCCATTTCACCGCTCCCCAGTTTTTCTTAAGTACACTTAATCTCGTCACGAGGACTGTACCTTCCTAATCTCATCTAAACCTAATTACCTCTCATAGTCCCCAGCTCCAAATACCATCAGAATAGTATGCAGGGCTTTGATATAAGAACACAATTCAGTACATGGCACCAGAATTATTAAAAAGTTGGTTTTGACAATTTTGACTCGTGTTCTCATTGCTTTAATGGAGTAGCAGGTTTTCTTAAAGTTCTTATTCTGCCATTCTAGAAGTGCTTTCTATAAATCAGTTTTATAACATTTTCATCCTTCCAATAAGATCCCTCCTGCCCATTTATAGTTAATCCTAATTCCCATCCTCAGTATAGTTGTTTATAAGTTTTTTTCTGTTAAATTTTTCTGAAGGCCACATTAAAAAGTGTAAACTTGTTATAAAAGTTAGATAACTGAGTGACCAGCTGAATTATCTTACAAACCAATGACTTTCAAATATCTCTATTTGTTTCCAAGCATTTTAGCATGAGAGGTGGAAGGAACCTGTGACTCTGTGAGCTATTTTGATGTACACACAATCCGTCTTCTTTCCATTGACTTCATTAATTTAGCACACTTTATTTTTTGTATCATTTGAGAGGATGGTAAAGATTTTGATTAGCTTTAGTCTTTCATAAAGATGGGTGTGTTATTATAGTTCTCGTGTAGCCACTAAAAGTATAGGAACAAAAGGTACAACTTACTACAGTAATAGAGCAAAAATTCAAAAAAGAAGAACCAAAATAGAATTGAGAAATTGTTTGTTTTATTAACTGTCTGATCTTTTTCAACTTTGGTGATGGAATAAGTTAAGAATTTGTTGGCCGGGTGCAGTGGCTCATGTTTGTAATCCCAGCACTTTGGGACACCAGGGTGGGTGGATCACCCGAGGTCAGGAGTTCAAAACCAGCCTGGTCAGCATGGTGAAACCCCATCTCAGATTAACTGGGTGTGGTGGCACATGCCTGTAGTTCCAGCTACTCGGGAGGCTGAGACAGGAGAATCACTTGAACCTGAAAGGCGGAGGTTTCAGTGAGCCAAGATCACGCCTCTGCACTCCAGCCTGGGTGACTAGAGTGAGATGCCATCTCAAAAAAAAAAAGAAAAAAGCTTCTTGGCCGGATTCAGTCTTATACAGACTAATACAGAGTGTGGAATGAAGGAATACTCTCCAGTTACTATTATGAGACTTTCATAATCTTGATACTTAAACCTAATAAGACCAGTTTGAAATGGAAAATTACAAGCTAGTTACACTCATTAGCACAGACACAAGAATCCTAAAACGGAACCTCAAAGTATAGAGAAAGGATTATTGATCTTGAATTGGAATTACTCTCGAATATAGGATGATTAAATGTAGTAGAGTATATCAGTTAAGAGTCTAGACTTCGGAGCCTGATTGCCTTGGTTTGAATCCTACTTTTACCATGCATTAGCTTGAGGTATATTTCTTACTCCTATTGGTTGTCTATTAATTGGGGTATTAATGGTATCACCTCATAGGGTTTTTCTGATGATCGAATGGTTAAAATATGTAAAGTGTTTAGGACAGTGTCTGAATACTAGGAGCTAATTGGTGTTAGATAAAATCAACTACTGTAATCTACCATGTTAACAGAATAAAGAAGAAGGCTGTATGATATCCCAATAGGCAAAGAAAAACCATTAAAATAATTTCATTAGTGATTAAAAATGTAATAAAGTAGGTTAGAGGGGAGCCTATAAACATGAAAAACTTACATCATGTATTTTATTTAATGGTGATAGATTTAAAACATTCCTTTTGAGATTCTATCATTGCTTCCTTTCACAGGGCTTAATAATTTCAGCAAGGCCAAAAATAAGAGAAAGAAAGGAAGGAAGATAGGTACAAGGATTAGAAAGGAAGAGAGAAAACTGCTGTTATTTGCAAAAGAATATATGGTTAATATTGGAATTAATATGAAAGTTTTCACAGAATTACTGATTACAAAATCAATATATCAAAAGCAGTTGCAGGAAATGGAAGTTCCTTAAAAAGAATATGACACTGCGATTCCATTCCTAGTCATGTAATCAAAAGAAATAAAAATACATGTAGATGCAAAGACTTGGATGTGAATGTTTATAGCTGCGTTATTGATAATAGTCAAAAAGTGGAAGCAATTCAAGTGTCCATCAGTGAGTGAATGGATAAACAAAATGTGTTATATTCATGCAATGAAGTACTATTCAGCAACAAAAAGTAATGAACTACTGATATAATACGGATGAACCTTATAAATGTTATGATAAATAAATCTATACATGTATACTATAGTGGTCCCATTTATATAAAATGTCCAGGAAGTGCAAATCTATAGAGACAGCAAGTAGGCTACTTAATTAATTACCTGGGGTTGGGGGTTGAGTAGGGGTTGATTGCATATGGGTATGAAGGATATTTTTGGGTTATAAAAATGTTCTAAAACTGGATTATGGTGATGGTTGCACAACTTTATAAATTTACTAAAAATCATTTAATTGTACACAGTTGACCCTCAATAACACAGGTTTAAACTGTATGAGTCCACTTACATGTAGATTTTTTTCAACCAACTGCAATAGAAAGTACAATAAATAAAGTGAGATGTGAAATCCATGTATGTGGAGGGCCTACTTTTCTTATGTGGGAGTTCCATAGGGCTCACTTTGGGACTTGAGTATACTCTGATTTTGATATAGGCAGAGAGTCCTGGAAACAATCCCTCAGAGATACCAAGGGATGACTGTACTTAATACCCTAATCATTTCCTTCCTTTCATCCTGATCTGACTACATAAATCCTTAAACCCCCTTTTTGGGGGAGTCAGGGAGGAGTTGATAGATAAAGGTTAAGAATTTGGGTCTGTGAGTATGTGGGCGATATAGACAGGAGGGATCATGAGTGAAATAGATATTGACAGAACCAATCCACCATATAATTTATAAACAGTATATTTTGAGAGAATGAGTTTACTCACATAGACCCTCTCAACCTTGTTTATTCATTTACACAAAAAGAGCCCCCTTGCTCTGAAAAAATAAAAAGTCAGTTAGGAACTATTTGATCTAGTTTACCTCATCTTCCCTTTTACCCACTCATAATCCAGTGTGATAGTATACACAAACATACTTGTTTATCTTAATAAAAGATTGTAAGTAAGTTAGAAAAGGTAAATACACAATGGAACTGATTTTTTAAAGCAGTGATACTTTTGGAGAAGAGAAAGCTTTTTTAAAATTTTAAAATCAGGCTGGGCGCAGTGGCTAATGCTTATAATCCCAGCACTTTGGGAGGCTGAGGCGGGTGGATCACTTGAGGCCAGGAGTTCAAGACCAGCCTGGCCAACATGGTGAAACCCCGTCTCTACTAAAAATATGAAAATTAGCCGGGTGTGGTGGCAGGCACTTGTGGTACCAGCTACTCGGGAGGCTGAGGCAGGAGAATTGCTTGAACCCGGGAGGCGGATGTTGCAGTGAATGGAGATGGCACCATCGCTCTCTAGCCTGGGCGACAAGAGTGAAACTCCATCTCAAAACAAAACAAAACAAAAAATTATAAAATCAATATTTGAATTTATCTTTTATAATGTAGATTTCTAAAATGTTTTACTGCCTTCAAAGTCAGTATATTCCTGTACTTAAACATGTGTTATGTTGGCTGGGTGCAGTGACTCACGCCTGTAATCCCAGCACTTTGGGAGGCTAAGGCAGGAAGATCACTTGAGCTTAGGAGTTCAAGACCAGCCTGGGCAATGTAGGAAGACTTCGTTTCTAAAAAAAGTGAGCCGGGTGTGGTGACGTGCACCTATACCCTTAGCCACTTGAAAGGCTGAGGTTGAAGGATCACTTGATTTCAGGAGATCAAGGCTGCAGTGAGCTATGGTGGCGCCACTGCACTACAGCTTGGGTGACGAAGTAGGACCCCGTCTCAAAAAAAACCAAAAAAACAGCACTTTATTGCTTGTGATTTACATAACAAGAATATGTTTAAAATTTTTTCTTTTATGTTTCCTTGTGAATTTTTCAAAAATTTTAATTTTATTTGAGATAGTCAGACTTTTTCCTGTAATTACTTTGTTTTATTCTTGAAATAGCTAAGAAGTAATTTTATTAGTAAATCATTTAAAAATAAATCGTTAGTTATTGTGTTACTTGAGGGAATTTGGCTGTGTTATTATTTCTGTATGTTCAGGAAACTGCCTAAGTCACATGTGTACTGTTCAATGAATTACCACAAACCTTTTTCACTCCTGTGTAACTATTACCTAGGTTAAGAAATAGATGCAGTAAATTTGAAAGTTGCAAGGATTGTCAAAACAAAGGCAGAAAGGAGCTAAGGAAGGGGCCACTTACTTAAGGATTCCTCTTTGGCCTATAGAGAAATATCCTTCTGTATTTTTAAATGTATTTATATGCCATGCTATTTCAAAAAACTGTTGTGTTTTCTTCTTGCTTTGACATCGATGGATTTAAATTATTTATTGTGTATTTGATGTAGCGATACGGTCGGACAGAATGAACTGAAGATTACAAGTGATCAAGTGGTAAATTCAGGATTGATTTTTGAAGATAAACCGAAACCTTCCAAACAGTCACTTCAGTCTTACCAAGAGGCTTTGCAGCAGCAGGTATTGATTCATTTACTCATTTACTGTTGAACATCTTAAGTGTATGCATGGTGTGGTCCCTTAGAGCTCAGAGTGTGGCAGGGGAGGGAAAAAAACCAGTTAATTATAATTCAAAATGCTGAGTTTTGAAGTGGATACAGTAAAATGCTCTTGGAAGCATAGGATAGGAAAAATAATTGCCTGGGGCAGTTGGGAGAACTTCACGCAGTGGCTGATATTTGAGCTGCATGTTGTGCAATGAATACATTAGAAGTTGCTGGTGTATACAGAGAATGGAATTGGTGTGGAAGAAGGGGCTGGAGGGTTAGATTGTTCTAGTAGATTGTGAAGGACTAGCTAATAAGGGGTTTTCAGTTTCATCTGGTTATGGGCAGCTGAAGGAAGGAAATTTTAAGCCAAGAAAAGTATGAAAGGATTGGTTGCTTTGAGCAGATTTATCTTTTATGAAGATAATTGGTTGTGATTTGGACAATTGGGAAGAGATGTGGCAGGGAAATTATTTAGTAGATAGTCCAATAAGGAGGTGATGAGGCCCTGAACCAGATGGGGATGTTGGGGAAGACATCTAAGAGAGAATTCTCAGGTTTCATTGACAGGACTTAGATATAGGGAGGGAGAAATAACAGAGGGTTTGAAGATGATTCCTAGGAGAATAATGAGGCTATAAACCAAAATAGAGAAAACAGGAAGTAGTTCATGTTTACAGAGGAGGATAATGGATTATTTTGTAGTTTGTAATATTTGCAGAGAATTTAAGAGTAACTATCAAATGTGTGGGGTTCTTTGTGGGAATTCCCTTACCCTCTGAGAGGGCCCTGGGACTCTAACTTAGTTACTTTTGTATAGAATTCCACTTGGATTTCTTTTAAAAGTACTTTTGTTCAATTTTTACATGGGCAACTTTCTTGAAAGATTTTTAAAATTACAGAATTACCAACATTTTTTGTATGTTAGGATTCTACAAATAAAAGACTGAATTTTAAATTCCGAATCTGTTTTTGAATGAGCATGTTAAAAACACCACTGACAAAACTAGATTTTTCGACGATAGAGGTCTATTTGATGTGTGTGATGACTTCTTTGGCTGTACTGGAGCAAAAGGTTGCTTAAATTTACTGTGCATATAGTTATGAGTTTAAAAGTGACTTTCCAAAATGTAGACACTTGTTTATTGTCTATCCGTATGTCTCTACAGAACAACCCTGTGCTTATACTTAGTGATGATAAGAATGCGTTTGTTTTTTTACTGAATACAGCTTTACAGAAATATTGCAGGTTTGGTTACAGACCACCGCAATAAAGCAAATATCACAATGAAATGATTCACATGAATTTTTGGTTTCCCAGTGCACATAGAGTTAATCTTTACACTATACTGTGGTCTGTTAAGGTGCAACATGTCTTAAGGTACGTAAACTTAATTTAAAAATACCGTATTGCTAAAAAAAATTTAGCAAGTCATAATCCTTTTGCTGGTGGAGAGTCTTGCCTCAATATTGATGGCTGCTGACCGATCAGGGTGGCAGTTGCTGAAGATTGGATGGCTGTGGCAATTTCTTAAAATGAGACAACAGTGAAATTTGCTGCATCAGTTGACTCCATTCATAAAAGATTTCTCTAGGATAAGATGCTATTTGATACCATTTTATCCGCAGTAGACCTTCTTTCAAAGTTTGGAGTCCTCTCAAAACCCTGCTCATGCTTTATCAACTTAGTTTATGTAATGTTCTAAATCTTTGTTGTCATCTCAACAATATTCACAACATATTCACCAAGAGGAGACTCCATCTCAAGAAACCACTTTCTTTGCTTATTCGTAAGAAGCAACTCCTCATCCATTGAAATTTCATCATGAGATTGCAGCAATTCTCTCAAGTCTTCCATGCCTCACTTCTAATTCCAGTTCTCTTACTATTTCTTCCACATTTGCAGTTACTTCTACCACTGAAGTCTTGAATCCCTCAAAGTCATCCATGAGGGTTAGAGTCAACTTCTTTCGAACTTCTGATACTGTTGATATTTTGACTTCCTTCCATGACTCACAAATGTTCTTGATGGCATCTGGAATGGTAAATTCTCTCCAGAGGGCTTTCAGTTTAGATTTCCCAGATCCATCAGAGGAATTACTGTTTGTGGCAACTATAGCTTTATGAAACATATTTCCTGAACAGTAAGAATTTAGTGTCAAAATTACTCCATGAGTTAATGGACTACAGAATGGATATTGTATTAGCAAGCATGACAACAACGTTAATCATCTTGTATATGTAGCTCTTGATTGACCAGATGCATTGTCAATGAGCAGTAATATTTTGAAAGGAATCTCTCTTTTTTTTTTTTAGTAGTAAGTCTCAACAGTGGACTTAAAATACTCAGTAAACCATTCTTGAAACAGTTGTGCAGCAATCCAGGCTTTGTTGTTTCCTTTCTAGAGCATAGGCAGAGTAGATTTAGCATCATCCTTTTTTTTTTTTTTTTTTTTTTTGAGACGGAATCTCACACTGTTGCCCAAGCTGGAGTGCAGTGGTGCAATCTCAGCTCACTGCAAGCTCTGCCTCCCAGGTTCACGCCATTCTTCTGCCTCAGCCTCCCGAGTAGCTGGGACTATAGGCGTCCGCCACCTCACCCGGATAATTTTTTTTTTTTGTATTTTTTTTTTGTATTTTTAGTAGAGACAGGGTTTCACCGTGTTAGCCAGGATGGTCTCCATCTCCTGACCTCGTTATCCACCTGCCTCGGCCTCCCAGAGTGCTGGGATTACAGGCATGAGCCACCATGCCTGGCTGATTTAGCATCATTCTTAAGGGCCCTAAGGTTTTCAGAATGGTATGTTAGCATTGGCTTCAACTTAAAGTCACCAGCTGCATTAGCTTCTAATGAGAGAGTCAGCCTGTCCTTTGAAGCTTGAAACCAGACATTGACTTCTCTTTACTAGCTATGAAAGTCTTCTTTTAATACAAGGCTGTTTTGTCTCCATTGAATATCTGTTGTTTAGTGGAACCACCTTCATCAGTTATCTGAGCTAGACTTTCTGGGTAACTTGCTGCAGCTTCTCCATCAGCACTTGCTGCCTCATGTTGTACTTTTTTATTTTTATTTTTGTTTTGAGACAAAGTCACACTCTGTCGCCCAGCCTAGGGTGGAGTACAGTGGCACGATCTTGGCTCACTGCAACCTCCTCCTCAGCCTCCTGAGTAGCTGGGACTGCAGGCACCCACAATCACGCCCAGCTAATTTTTTTTTTTCTTTTTTTTTTGTATTTTTAGTAGAGGTGCAGTTTCGCTATATTGATCAGGGTGGTCTCGAACTCCTGATCTCAGGTGATCCGCCCACCTCGGCCTCCCAAAGTTTTGGGATTACAAGTGTGAGCCCGGCCCATGTTGTACTTTTATGTTATAGAGATGGCAGCTTTCCCCCAACTTCATGAACCAACCTCTGCTAACTTGCAAGTTTTCTTCTGCTTCCTCACTTCTCTCAGCCTTCATAGAATTGAAAAAAGTTAGGGCCTTGCTCTCGTTTAGGCTTTGGCTTAAGGAAATCCTGGGCTGGTTTGATCTTCTATTTAGACCACTAAAACTTTCTCTATAACAGCAATAAGGCTGTTTCACTTTCTTATCATTCATGTGTTTACTGGAGTAGCACTTTTAATTTTCTTCAAGAATTCTTCCTGTGCATTTACAACTGGGCAAAGTGTTTATTTAGCATAGGAGGCCTAGCTTTCAGCCTATCTATGCATTTGACAAGCCTTTCCCACTAAGCTTAGTCATTTCTCACTTTTGATTTAAAGTGAGAGGTGTGACTCTTTCATTCACTCAAACACTTACATGCCATCGTAGGGTTATTAATTGGCCTAACTTCAGTATTCTATCAGGGAAAAGAGAGACCCAAGGAGAGGGAAAGAGACAGGGGAATGGCTGATTGGTAGAATAGTCAGAATCATATGACATTTATCCATTAAATTTGCCATCTTTGTGTGTGATTCATGGCGCCCCGAAACAATTACAATAGTAACACTAAAGATCACCAATTACAGATCACCATAACAGATACAATAATAATTTTAAAAGTTTGAAATATTGTGAGAATTACCAAAATGTGACACAGAGACATGAAATTATCCCATGCTGTTAGAAAAATGTTACCGATAGACCTCCTCAGTTCAGGGTTTCCATAAACCTTCAATTTGTAAAATATGCAATGTCTGTAGCCGGGCGTGGTGGCTCACGCCTGTAATCCCAGCACTTTGGGAGGCTGAGGTGGGTGGATCACGAGGTCAGGAGGTCGAGACCATCCTGGCTAACACGGTGAAACCCTGTCTCTACTAAAAATACAAAAAATAGCTGGGCATGGTTGGGAGCTCCTGTAGTCCCAGCTACTGCGGAGGCTGGGGCAGGACAGTGACGTGAACCCGGGAAGCAGAGCTCGCAGTGAGCCGAGATCGTGCCACTGCACTCCAGCCTGGGCGACAGAGCGAGACTCCGTCTCAAAAAAAAAAAAAAAAAAAAAAAAAATTCAACGTCTGCAAAGCACAATAAAGTGCAGCACAATAAAATGAGGTATGCCTGTATTTAACGTTGCCAAGCATTCCCCAGAGAGCGTTGATCCTCCAACCTCAGAATTTTGAGAATAGAGTTTGCCTAGGGAAAGTAAGTCTGGTAAGGTTGAGGGTAGACTTTGTGGCTGGGCATTCCCCTTGAAAGGATAGATGAAAAAGGAACATAGGGAGATCTGATGGTCCCATGGAACTGTCAGGGTTAGAGAGGGAATGGCTCAGGTACACACTGGGGGAGGGAAGGAGGAGTTAGTTGAGTCTGAAATAGCCTTAGTGGCTGGAAAGTCATTTGGTGTATATAGAGGAACAGGGGCTATGTATTCTAGCCATTGAATTATTTTTATTTTTAATGTTATTTAATTATTTAGAGACAGTGTCTTGCATAATGTTGCCCAAGCTGAAGTGCAGGGGCATAATGGCTCACTACAAACTCCACCTCCTGGGTTCAAGCAATTCTTGTTCCTCAACCATGCAAGTAACTGGGATTACAGATGTGCGCAACCACACTCGGCTAATTTTTGTATTTTTAGTAGAGACGGGGTTTTGCCACGTTGGCCAGGCTGGTCTTGAACTCTTGACCTTACGTGATCTGCCCACCTTGACCTCCGTAGGCATGAGCCACCACACCTGGTCTAAAGTATTTTTACATTGAGTATTACGTATTTGTGATTTTAATCTTTGTAGGGGCGTATACTGAAAAAAAATTTTTTTTTTTCGTTTTCTAACAAAAAGTAACATCTGGTATTACTAACTTCTTGTATTGGAATACTTGTCAGCATTTATTTTAAATATATTTTATGTTGTCAAGATTCGGGAAAGAGAAGAAAGAAGGAAGAAAGAACGTGAAGAAAAAGAAGAATATGAAGCTAAATTAGAAGCTGAAATGAGAACATATAATCCCTGGGGAAAAGGTGGAGGTGGTGCTCCTCTCAGGGATACAAAAGGAAATCTGATAAGTATGTTATTTCCACTGACTTGTTTTTAAAATAAGCTAAATTATTTTTAACTTTTTAAAAGACTGGGGAGTAGAAAAAAGTAGGAATCATAGCCTCTATAGCAAGGTACGTATGTAACTTAATGCATATGAGGTATTTTGAGAATAAATATAATAACAGAGGCTAGAACGCATTTCTTCTCAGAATACTATTCATTTGTTTTTATTGTAAATATTTCATCCTCTGATGTTGATAACCCAGCTGCAGAGAAAAGCTCATGTTAGTTGATAAGTTGTTACTGAAACTGGTTCTTAGAATATTTTGTTTCCTCATAAAAAATGATAAAACCCATATTACAAGTTAAAAACTAGTAAGATGTCTTAGAAATAAAGGATCTAAAACAGTTTTGGGAGGGGATTTTGTGTTTAATTTATATATGCAATATACCTGCTCATTGCAAGAATTCCTTTGGGAAAAAAAAAAGCATGATCATGGAAACTTTCTAGCAGGTTTCATAATTTGTTGATTTATCTTTCAATTATGTACTCTCAAAAATGTTTGATCTAGTAATCACACAACAAGTACTTCGAAAGAGTGGCTTTATACAACTTGTTTTATACAGTTGTCCGTTGGTAACTGTGGAACATTGGTTCCAGGATCTCCTGTGAATACCCAAATCCACAGATGCTCAAGTTCCTGATATAAAATTGGTAAAGCGTTTGCACATAACCTACACATGTCCTCCTGTATACTTTAAACCATCTCCAGATTACTTGTAATACCTAATACAGTGAAAATGCTATGTAAATAGTTGTGATCTTGTATTAATTAGAGAATAATGACAAGAAAAAAAGACTTTTTACATGTTCAGCACAGATGCAAGCCTCCATTTTTTTGTTTTTTAATGTTTTTGAATTGTGGTCGATTGAATCCACAGATGTGGAACCCGCAGTTACAAAGGGCTGTTGTATATATTAGAATGGTCTCTGTTTAAGGTTTAGTTAAGCAGAATAAAAGTAGATCAAAGAGATACACATTTCATGTTCTTTAGGTATTATATATTGTAGGAATAGATGAGTGATAGAATTGAAAGATTGGATGTTGAGTTAGAATTCTTATGTATTATGCCTTTGCTTCTTTGTTAAATATTGTTTTTTTTAAAAGATATATTTGAGGCCCACTTTAATTTACTTTAATTTAATTAATTTTTTTGAGACAGAGTTTCACTCTGTCACCCAGGCTGGAATGCAATGGCACCATCTTGGCTCACTGCAACCTCTGCCTCCCAGGTTGAAGCAATTCTGCTTCAACCTCCCAAGTAACTGGGATTTATAGGCATGCACCATCATGCCCGGCTAACTTTTGTGTTTTTATTAGAGATGGGATTTCACCATGTTGGTCAGGCTGGTCTCAAACTCCTGACCTCAGGTATTCCACCCACCTCAGCCTCCCAAAGTGCTGGGATTACAGGTGTGAGCCACTGTGCCCGGCCTACTTTAATTTTAATAGGTCTTTTTTTCTTCCCGAAAGATTTGTTCCTTTCCTATCTTCATCTCATGAATAATTTTCTCACAGTTTTGAAAGAGTGGAATTCTTATTACTTTCTTTATTGATGAAATGATTTTAGATGATGCCTAACTAACATTTCTTATTTTAATAGTTAAGTGTTTACTTGAAAATATATTAGAAAAACACAAGTTTTCCATTTATGAATAGTGCTATAATATTTTCTTTTAAACTACAGGTATTACAGTGAAGGTATTAGTCCAGGCATTTAATGGAAAGTGCTGTAATAAACCCAAATTCTTAGAAGCTTAAGGGCCTCTCTTGTTAGGCATCCATTTTTGTCCCACTCTGATGCTGTTTGGGTGGTTCTCCTCCAAGAAGTGACTCAGGGATCCATTGTTTCATTCCTTCATTTTAGAGTCCTTTTCTTCTTGTCCAGGGACAAATTGAGGATTTTGTTGGGCCCTGGCCTGGATGTGGAGGAAGATCACTTTTGCCTTCATTCCATTGTTCAGACCTAGTTATGGGGTCTAACCTAACTGTTTGGGAGGCTGGGAAGTTTAACTTTATGCTCAGGAGAAGGACATGGGATTAATAGCCATATGGGCAATCTTTGCTATAGTAAATTTAAATTATAAATTGATACAAATATACTAGTTACCATGAAAAGTGTGCTTAACTGAGTGAAACATTGGAAAACGTTGGGATAGAGCAGTTTTCTAAAATCTACCTCTAAGATTATTTTTAGTTCAAACAATACAATTGTGGTGTTCTGTATGCCTTTAATTGGTGGAAGTAAGTAGGATAAATTTGGGTTATTGAGTTATAAAACATTATTTTAGAATTGCTTGACCTAATGAGCATGGAGAAAATGTTTCTTAGATTTCAATTTTCAATATTAATATTTAGTTGGCTTATTTAATGCCGTCTTCATGCCATGAAATAGAAAAGGCATACTGTTTTATCAAATACAGTATAACTCAATGATATTTTCAAAGCAAGTAAACTCATCACTTAAAAAGAGTATCAGTTTATTTTGTATGTGGATGCTACATTTTATTTTTATTTTTATTTTTTGAGATGGAGTTTCGCTCTTTTACCCAGGCTGGAGTGCGATGGTGCAATCTCAATTCACTGCAACCTCCGCCTCTTGGGTTCAAGCAGTTCTCCTGCCTCAGCCTCCTGAGTAGCTGGGATTACAGGCATGTGCCACCATGCCCACCTAATTTTGTGTATTTAGTAAAGACGGGGTTTCACCATGTTGGTGGTCTTGAACTCCTGACCTGAGGTGATCCACCCACCTTGGCTTCCCAAAGTGCTAAGATTACAGACATGAGCAACTGCACCCAGTGTAGCTACTGTATTTTAGAGAAGGCGGGAAAGTTACATTTGAAATATGTAGCATAGAGCCTAGTGATGACTAAGACCATATAACATCTGTTCATTATCTTGGCTAACTTTAATTCTGCTGCTGACTTTTCTAATTACTCCTGTTGTTCTTTTTTTTATCTTTTATTCCAAAGAAATTAATAAAATTGAATCTTAACCCTTATCTTACCTCTCTAAGAATATCTCTTTATAAGGCATAGTAGTTATTAATGAAATTTAAAAATGTGTTATTCATGCAACTGTAAGATAGTGTCACCCCTTTTAAAGTAAATACTTCTCAATTTAATTATTTGTACAGTACTTTATTCTGTTGTCTTTCTCAGTTCTTTATTCATTAAAGTTCTTTATTCAGGTTTTTATTTGAAACTTTACATGAAACTGTCCATGTCAAATGTTAAAACATATACACCAAAAGAAAAATGTCAATAAAAATAAATTAAAAGATAAAAACCACTTTGAAAGATGGTATCTCATAGTTCCAATTGATTAAAAGGATGATTAGTTAGTCAGTTCTTTTACTTTTACTTACTCGTCCACCCATGCCAATCTGTGATCTCCTTTCTGGCATGAAAATATTGCCTTTTTTCTGACATTTGTATTTTAGCATAGTGTTGTTGCATATGTCAGTAGCTTATATTTTTTTATTACTGAATAGTATTGCATTGTCTGGAGGTACCACAGTTGTTTATCCATTTAGCAGTTTATGGATATGTGGGCTGTTTACAGTTCAAGGCTATTATAAATAAAGCTGTTAGAAACATTCACTTACAGATCTTTGTGTGAACATAAATTTTTATTTCTTTTGGGTAAGTGCCTAGGAGTAGAATTGCTGGGTTGAATAGTAAGTGTTTAACTTTATAAGAAACTGCCAGAACATTCTCCAATTTTGTTGTGTCATTTTGCATTCCTGTCAGAAAAGTATGAGGTTTCTAGTTGCTCTGAATTTTCATCAGAACTTGAAATTATGCATCTTTAAGCTTTTAGTTATTTTATTGAAAGTGCAGTGATGCCTCATTTAAAAAAAACATTTTCTATTGTGAAATTAAGACCTAAAAGAGTTGCAAAGATGGTGTAGAGAATATCCTTCACCTTGTTTCCTGTGACGTTAACATCTTAGATAATCATGGCACAATGATCAAAACTAGAAATTAACCTAGATACAGTGCCGATAATTAAGTTACATACCTTGTTCGAATTTTACCTGTTTTTTTTTTTTTTTCCCTAATGTCCTTATTCTATTTTAGGCTGTAGTCCAGGATCCTATAATGCATTTAGTTCATGTCTCTTTAGTCTCCTCCAATCTGTGAGATTCCTCTTTCTCAATCTCTGTGTCTCTTTCTCTCTCTGTTCCATTGCTGTGTATGTCTATCCTTTTGCCCATATCAGAGTCTCTTGATTACTATAGCTTTGTAGTAAGTTTTGAAATTGAAAAGTGTGAGTCCTCCAGCTTTGTTCTTTTTTTCAAGAATTTTTTTTTGAGATGGAGTCTTCCCCTGTTGTCCAGGCTGGAGTACAGTGGCGCGATCTCGGCTCACTGCTAGCTCTACCTCCGGGGTTCACACCATTCTCCTGCCTCCGCCTCCTAAGTAGCTGGGACTACAGGAGCCCGCCACCATGCCCGGCTAATTTTTTGTATTTTTAGTAGAGACGGGGTTTCACCATGTTAGCCAGGATGGTCTCAATCTCCTGACCTCGTGATCTGCCAGCCTAGTCCTCCCAAAGTGCTGGGATTACAGGTATGAGCCACGGTGCCCAGCCTTTTCAAGATCTTTTGACAACTCAACTTCTTTGCATATTTTACTATCACTATAGTAATATAGTAATATTATTATTATTATTATAAGTTATTAGTAAGTAATTAGTAATATAAGTAATTAGTAATAAGTTATAGTAAGTAAATAATAAGTTATAGTAAGTAATTATTACTATTATTATTACTTTGTCATGTCAAGCATGGTGGCATTTTCATTGGGATTCCGTTGACTGTATAGATAATATTGGGACAGCCAGCATCTTAATAGCATTGAGCCTCTTGATCCATGAGTGGGCAGTATATATCCATTTATTGCTTCTAGTTAATTTCTCTCAGCAATATTTTGTAGTTTTTGGTGGCAGATCTTGGGTGT